CTGCGAGGCACCCCAGCCGCACCCGGCGGCGGCGGGGACCGGACGGCCAGCGCCACCGGCCCCACACGCACCGCGCGGGCACTTAGCATTTCCATACATATGGCACATCTACACATCACTGTACAACTACGTTGCTAAGGCACTGTGCTTTAGTACTTCCTTAGCAGTAACCACCTGTACTGCACCATCCTTTTGGAAGTACTAAAGCATGGTGCAGTACAGGTGGTTACTGCGCCATGCGCACGGCACATGGGTAAATTTCACCACTACGACACCATAGCAGTGCACTGCACCTGGGGAGTGTACCGCTATGACAATGGCACTTGGGCAGAAAGAACCAGCAGCATACCTAAAATGCAGCATGAACAAGCAGCATACTTATAGGCTGGGTAACTCCCTTCTCAAAAGCACGGTGTCAGAAAGAGATCTTGGAGTCATTATCAATTCTAAAATGAACATGGGCCACCAATGTGAGGACATGGTGAGTAAAGCTAACTGCACCTTGTCATGTATACACAGATGCATCATGAGCAGGTCCAAGGAGATGATCATCCCCCTCTATGTGACACTGGTCAGGCCACAGTTGGAGTACTGTGGCCAGTTCTGGGCGCCGCACTTCAGGAGGGATGTGGACAGCATCAAGAGGGTCCAGAGGAAGGCCACTCACATGATCCAGGGACAGCAGGGCAGGCCCTATGAGGAGAAGCTATGGGACCTTAACCTGTTCAGCCTTCGCAAGAGAAGGCTGAGGGGGCATCTGGTGGCTGTCTATAAACTCATTGGGGGGACCAGCAGGGTTTGGGAGAGACCGGTTCCCCCTAGCGCCCCCCGGGGTAACAAGGAATAACAGCCACAAATTGTTAGAGAGTAGGTTTAGACTAGACATCCGAAGGCACTACTTCACAGTCAGGGCGGCTAGGATCTGGAACCAACTTCCAAGGGAAGTGGTGATGGCTTCTACCCTGGGGGTCTTTAAGAGGAGGTTCGACATTTACCTGGCTGGGGTCATTTGAGCCCAGTTTTCTCTCCTGCCCAGGGCAGGGGGTTGGACTAGAAGATCTACAAGGTTCCTTCCGACCCTACAGCTATGAATCTATTACATGTACATGCACGTGATTGTTACATCACCATAGCTCACCATGAAGCCATATAAAGTATCGCTACATCGCCATAGGGCGACATGTAGATGCGCCCATACAGAATACTTACAGTAGAGAGTATTCTAACAAAAGCTATTTGCAAGAGTGTTATGTTTTAATTTTAAATATAATTGACCACATAATCAAAGCAAGAATTGTGTATAAGAAAAAAAAAGATATTTCTGTTTGCCCTTCTGAAATGAGCAAAGAAAAAAGTAAAAAAATAAATAAAACAAAACTAAGAACCTCACAACTGAGTTAGCTCTTAATTAAACATTTGCTAAAATGGTCCAAGTGACATAAAGAGGCCCTAGATGTCCTGACTGAAATGAATGGAGGACTCCCTTGGTGAAGGCACTATGAGAAAATGCTGCCTTTCGAAGACCCTGCTGA